ATAAGAAGTTTTAGCTCATAGCACCTTGCATGCACGTAAGTTAGCAACTTTACGTGTAATGCTAACCTTAAGAGTCCAGATCTATGAGTTGGAAGTAATGAAATGGACTGTAATCGATAGAATTGAGATGTCACAAAGCGGCTCGGCGAGTCGGGTCGCAAACCCAAATCCCTTCTGGTTATGAGTTAGATCAGTGAGTTGAGTTGGTGAAGGACTCGGCCAGTCTGGGTCCATATTGGGCATGAAGATCATAATACTCGACGAGTTCGAGGAGGAACTCGGCGAGTCCAAGGCAATCTCCTTAGTTATGAAGGTGGACTCGATGAGTTGTTCATACAACTCGGCGAGTCGGTTGAGGATGGTCCTGAATTGTATGGTTGAAGGAGAACCCGTCGAGTTCTTGCTAGACTCGACGAGTTAAATCGGGGGTTGTAATGGATCGTCGGAGTATGGACTCGACGAGTTGGTAGAACAACTCGGCGAGTCAAGTCAACTGGAAGTTGACTTTGACCAAGTTTGACCAGTGTTGACTTTTGGATTATTCCGGTCTAAATGTTGTTTTGGGTATTGATAGTTCGGGAAGCCGAAGGGTCAGCGGTTCAGAAGTGCCAGTTAGCAGTCAGAAGAGTTCAGCGAGTCGTCAACAGTGCGAGGTGAGTCTCCTCATTGTGTGCATGGGTCTACGGCCACAATGCCGGCCCATTATGTTTATGCTTATGGTTATGTGTAGTAGGAAGACCCGGGGGTTAGCCCTATGCATTTATTGTGATTTGTTCGGATTTAGATCTGTTACCGGGGTTAGCCCGATGCAGCTTTGTATGTTCCGGACTTCGGTCCTATGCCGGGTGGAACCCGAGGCAGTAGTGGATGTATAGTTATACTTGTTGTTTTTGTGATACTTGTATGTGCCTGGTAGGGAGGTGAGTCGGGAGAGGTCCCGTATCTCATCACTAGCCGAGTATGGACGGGGTTCCGTGTCTTATTAGTAGCAGAGCAGGGGCGAGGCCTGAGTTAGGAGGGAGGTGAGTATGGGCGGGGGCCCGTATCTCACTATCAGCAGGAGCGTGGATGGGGTTCCATGACTCACCAGTAGCAGGGCAGGGGAGGGGCCCAAGATAGGCGAGGCCTTAGATCAGTAGTACAGTAGAGTATGTTTAGATTTATGATATGTGTTATGTTATATGCTTGTATTTGTTAGTCGCGGGTGAGGCCCAGAGACAGGCGGGGCCTAAGAGAACAGATCTGTATACCGAGCGGGGCTCGATGCCAGGCGAGGCCTGATGCCGGGCGGGGCCCAAGTTAGTCCGGACTCGGTCCAATGTCGGGCAGGGCCCGATGCAGTGGGCAAGGCCCAGTATGTGGTTATGTATGTCGTATGTGGTAGGTTGGGGAACTCACTAAGCTTCGTGCTTACGGTTTTCAGTTTTGGTTTCAGGTCCTTCCGGTAGCGGAGGGAAGAGCTCGGGGGGATCGCATGGCACACACACACAGCAAAGAATTTTAGCCTGGGATGTTTACTATGATAAAATGGACAAGTGTTTTGAAAAGATACTCTGATTTGTTATATAACTCTTATAGTATGTTTGAAATGAATTGATACTATGGTTTAGTAATGTTTTAAAAAGAAATTTTTGGTCATGATTTTTGGGATGTTACAAAGATGCTATGTCAGATCTCGAATCTGATAAATGACTTAGAGTCATGAACATGAGATGTAATCCATGTATAAGAATCAAGTATGAGCTTGATTAAATTTTATCGCTATAGCAAGGCTAGAAGGAGTAAATAATTCTTCTAGAAAGAAAATTTTGCATGGATAACCATACACATTCAAAGCAAGACTTGTAATAAAAGGATTTTCTCATACTCATGTCATTGACTATGGTCCTCATCATACTCATGACATTGACTATGATCAAGCCTTTTTAACAAGTAGCTATGACTATGTCAGTAAGGATACTGTTTACTATAAATTCATATTCTTAATATGAGATATAGTAAATAGATTTCAAGAAAGACCTTTTTTCTTAATAGACATCTACTAGAAGATATCTATATAAATTAGCCTGGAGGTTTTCTTAATCCATGTTATCCTAATAAAATGTGTAGAACTTGAGATCCACTTGTGGATATAAAGCAAACATCTAAATGTTATAATCATTATTTTATGTAAAACCACAAGGTGTGTTTTATATCAAAACGAATAGAACATGTGTGTTTACTAAGAACTAGTGGGATCATAGTGAAATTCCTAATCTTGTATGAATGAGACATACTTAATCATTTGAAATCACATTCTGACTAAGCAAGGTCGTTTTCACCTTGACTCGGAAAGTGTTTCTAAAATGAAAGACTTAGGAAGGAGAAGATACATTCTTGGAATGTAAAATCTATAAGGGATAGATAAAATGAATGTTAAAAGTTCCATGCCCTTATACATATATTGGCAATATCTTGAAAGGGATCAAGACACAAGATTCTTTTGGAGAATTCTTGGCATTGTCTTATGGCACCATTTTTGAGCTAGCCTCAAAAGTACATAGCTCATAGGCTTGAACTAGATGAAATGATTTATATTCTATTTGCTTGGCAAATGAATTCATCATTTATGCCATATTATGCATAGGACATAGTATTTGATCATGTTGTAAGCATGTAATAGGATACTAATTGAATACATGGTTAAGTCACTGGATGACTAAGAGAGCATTCTAGGAGTACTTTAGAAGAACTAAGAGAATGCATATGAGACAATCAGTTTAGAAAGGATCTTTATGGAAAGAGCTACACAAGATGTTAATTTCTAAACGATTACAAATAATTATGAATTATAATTGGATTTTGACTTCGTTATGGAATGAAGGGTAAGTCTTGTTGGAATAAGGTCCAAGAAAAACATAATGACACAATATACTACAAAATAAGAATACACTACTTTATTAGTTGAATTCAAATATGATTGGATGAATGAGATCATTGAAAAAATATGTTGATTTCTTCCATTCAAAGATCACATAGAAATCTTTGTGACTTCGAGAGTATAGTTAATCAAGCTAAGAGACTCTATATCACGAAAGAACACCAATCATATTCTCCAAGATAATTAACTATACCTAGAGTAAAGTTAAGTATGGAGATGATAGTATTCATAGAATTCACACAAATTAAATTTTGTCAGATCTATTGATAAAGTCATTCTTTTGAGCTGAGTATGAATGGTCACACTTTAGCTACAAGACTTTATAATTGTAGAAATGGTTTTTTGATTTGGATTTAGTATTTGGATATTGGAACAATAACAACAACTATTAGATAATGTTATGATATATTGGGATATAGTCATCGTATTAATACTTATTGTGTTCTATAACATGTTTAATCCATGAATAATGTTATTATTCTAAAGGTTCATAGTCGGTAATAATTGTGGGAGCAATTATGAAGTAAGAATAATATGAATTGGATTGGTTGACTCTCACTAGATGAAAGTAGGCAGGTGGTTGTAACCAAGTTTCATAGGTACTTGTCAGAGAACTAGTATTGAACTGACCCGCATCAAGATCATCTCATGGATCGCTGTCATGAATGATACTTGATTAAAAGGTACTATCTTTGTATCCTTAACACCTGAGATACATAGTGGGACTTGAGTGTAGGGAGTAATATGCTTCGATATGGTCAAATGTTGTTCCTTGACCGGGCAGTTATAAAATCCATTTTCAGGTATGATGTGAACTATGCAAGCGGCTTATGTAATCAATATGGGATTTGTTCCTCTTATGTGTTGAGAGTTAGACATCTAAGGCGCCTTACTAAAAGTTGAACAACTAATGAGATTGATCGTGATGTGAATCTCATGTTCAACATGATGACTGTAGCAAAGGGATAACTGATAAACTTACCTTATACACCAATTGTAGCTTTGAGCTTTTGGGAATTGGGCGTTAATAGAATGGCATAAACAGTTGTATGGTCTTAGGGGCAGTGAAATGTTGCTAGACGTTCACCACTGTCTATATCAGTCTAATATGAGTCTTGCGCAAGTGGGAGATTGAAAGGCCTAGTATGCTCAAGAGTTATATTAAAGTGATATTGCTAAATAACATATGATAATAATGGGTCACACTAACAACAATTTGATATAATTGATTATTTATTAGAAATTGATTTTAATAAATATTCAATAAAACTCTTATAATTAAATTGGAAATTATTTGTTTCATGGAAATAATAATTTTCATTAGCAAGTAACATTATATTATTTCATATGATATGAATTAATAAGTCATGCACAACTTTTTGGACTAGTTGAAAACCTTTTGTCTTTTACTCAAAAGACAAAGTTTATATTTTTATAAACCTTGAGTTTATAAAATTTAAACTAACTTTCATCTTCTTTATGCAATTTTCGAGATTTGCATAAAAAGAAGTGTATGACTTGTTTAATCATGCTTTAGAAGCATGCATGGACACTATTATGACATGGAGACAAGTTTGTCTAAAGTTGAAGGTACTAATGGTTAATAACTTCACTTTATGCATATAAATAAGAGGGCTTTCACTTGGCTAGTTGCTCATTCTCTTCCTTTGAAGCTTGTGGCTGAAATTCCTTTCTTCTCCCTCATTCTCTCTTGTTTTGTTAAGAACACTTGAAGATTACTTGCATTAATATTCTCTTGAAGTTCATACTTTGGTTATGAACTTCAAGCTTGAGGGTTTAAGAGTTTTGGACTAGCATCTACATCAAGTTGAGTCATTGTTGGTGTCTCAAAGGTTCCACATTCTTCATCAACTTCCAAGCCTCCCAAGAGGACCCAAAGAACTACAAAGGTTGTTATTTCTTAATCCTTCCTTTGGTTGGTGTTTAATCTTTCTATAACTTGCAAGGAGATCCTTGGTGGGTATAAAATGTTTATGTTTTTTCAAAAATTAAAGTCTTCCGTTGCCATATTTTTCTAGTTTATGAAACTATTTTTGAACTAAAAACCCAACACTCCTTCCTACGACTTATCACCTACTCTATTAATTGTAGGGATAATATTCCCGATGTCATATGTCTTCTCCGGCGAGGGTACCTGATCGTCACCGTCTCCGGGAATATTGATTTCGCCTGAGACAATTCTAATCTCACTTTCTTCTAACTCGTTTTAAACGTTGGTATTATTATCCCAGGTTTCAGATATACCTTCATCGTCAGTATCAGATTTCTCCATATTTTTGTCTTCATCTTCTGCATTTTCTTTGTTGCCATGAGCAGAAGAATCGTAATCTGACTCATAGAACTTGGAGAAAGGCTCCCATGGGTCTGCGCATTCTACAATCCTGATTGTGGACAATCTTCCATTGAAAGAGCAAGTGATTTCCTCAGTTATTAGCTTTTTGTACGACGTTAGAATTCTAGCGTTTGAGAATGACAAATCAATTCCATGCCAATTTTGACACCCAACCACTTCAATAACCTTTCCAAATCTGATGGCTACCAAGCTTGCATTTTGATCTGATCGTAGGTGGATAAGGAGGCCAATGATTTTAACCCAGGCAATTCTCTCAAATTGCAAGTCTCCCGGAATTCCCCGTTTAAGCCATTTGAACCATCTGTTCCATGCATTTTTGTTTCTTAATTACCCCTCTGCAACCTCTTGTATAGAAAATTTAAGGATTACCTTTAAACCTCATGTGTATTATATATAGCATGGAATATCTCCATATGCTTTTATCATACTGGGAAGGTTTATCAGAAGTTGGAAGCAAGTGACTTCACCTGTGAGTGAAAACGTATTCTCCATTGCTTTAACGCTCTTGAGAATGACCGATGGGATCAACGATGGGGAGGAAGTTTTTGGAGTGTCTTGTCTTCCAATGACAACTTCTGCAAACGATCTTTCATCACTAGTATTGTTCCACCCGCCATGATTCTTCGTATGTTGAGAATAAAGAGCTCTCCGATTTTGTCTCAGCGGTCCCTTGATGTTGGAGTTCTTCTCGTATTTTTCCACGTTTACCTTCAATATGAAATGACCGCATCTGACTTTGTTTAGGGAGTTCAACATCACCTGGACATCCTTAATACCTTCAAATCTGATGAAAGCAAAATAAGATCCACTCTTATCTTTCCTCACTGCGATGTAGGTATCTACTAGATTCCCATATTTGCGTACTGCATCCCTAAGCATGGCAGTAGCGGTGTCCTATTGAATGTTTGATACGTAGAAGGATATGATCTTCTACTCCGATTGGTGTTTCCTCTGGCACACCTCAGACCATCCATCGTCCTGCTGACCTTTCTTCTCCTTAGGGAGCATTGCGTTCATATCAAAAATTATATGGAACATTAATATATGTTTATAACATTTATATATTCAAAACTATAACAACTTAAGAGTCATAGTTTATAAACTAAGTCAAGGAAACACATAAATTTATGGCCAAACTAGAGGAAATTAATTACATAGATAAAATATTAGAATTATATGTCATTTATAATACATTAGAGGCATTTCGTTCGTAGGTGGTTGTAAGATTTGATAAAAAAAAATCAATAGGGGCAACATTAAACATATTTTAAGAGGATGAGAGTCAGATTTAGGTTTTGTGTCCAATTTTCTTATATGCATTGCGAGTAAATGACATTTAGTAAAAGAGATTGTTTTTTTGGTGTATCGAGAGCAAATCACATTTGGCAAAAGAGGTTGTTTTTTTGTGTTAATATTCATTGTGACTACACCTTTATATATTTTACCTACACGGTATGTGTTTGGTGTTATATTTGGGGTTCTGATTCATTTTTAGGTGTGATGTGCTTCACGAATTTACTATATTTAGGCACTAAACTTTAATATATTTTGAATGACTCTTACAAGAGTGGTGTCCATGGTATTTTCTCAAAATCCATTTGGAAATGTATAAATGATAATTATAATTATTAAGTTCATGCTTTTTGAAAAGTTTAAAGGAGGTCATGGATCATTTGAACTCATAATTTCTATTTTGAACATTGAATCTCATTATTGAACATGGTAATCATGTATTAATTGATATGAATAGAAGTAGATTGATGTTTAAACTTGGATATAGAATCCCATAAATGATTATAATGTCATGTGAACCAATCTTGTTAAGTTTATTAAGTCAATGGAGACTTATGTCTTGAAATGGAATATTAATGTCTCAATAAGCGCTTAACCGAGCTAAGGCCTTTAAGCATTAATTCATATTATAGATGTGATGTCACTGAGTGTAAAACAAGTCCTTAAAATATACTACATCCATTAGTATATACTGGAAAGAGTTATTAGATGATTGGGAGCAAACATACCAAAGTACACTACATAAGTTATTGAGCAAATACTACCATTTTTGACTTACTAGGCAACATACGAGGTGTGGGTTTGTAATGAAATTTTCACATGGATTATGTGGGCCCCCTAGAAGGATTCTATAAAATTTTCAACTTGAGCCTAACTTGCTTTTTGACCCCAAGACATTTCCTATTCTTTTAATGACTTAACTAGCTTATTTAGGTTGGCATATGAGTTAGTTGTGTATGGATTACTAAGAGCTTAATTCATCCCTTAAGTGATAAAGTACATCTATCTATATAGGTTAACATAGAGCACAAAAGCATTCTTGAGTTAGATTATTAGCTTCAACGAGCTATAATGAGTTATACCGAGAATACAAACCCTTTAAACCTATTGTATAGGTTTTACTTTATGACTTCATTAAAACTTATTTCTTGCAATTTGTATACTATACATATGTGCTCCTTTCATGAAATTCATTGTTGAAAATGTTGTTCTAAAAAAAGGAACTATAGTTTGGATTTGGAAACCTTTTTAAGTGTCCTACTTGTGCATTCACATATAATGAGTTGATTTAGGTGTGACCATTTATCCAAGGATTCTTAGCCACTGGTTGAAAAAATAAGTTAGCTTATTATAATTTACTATTTAGTAAAACCACAAAATAACTTATTTTAGCTTATAAAGTAGCTTTATAAGTTAACTTTGATAATCTTATTGAGTTTTTTTTTTAAAAAATTATTCCAAATATGCCTTTAATTATATATAAGTTATATATCTAAATTTCTATTATGTCATTTTACGTGTGTTACTTTCTGTATTCTTTTTGTACAACATATAGTATTTATCATATTAAAATATTATTGTATTATTTAGGGATAATGACTTAAAAAGGTAATGTATTTTTCGATTTGTACACATTTAGTCACTGAGTTTTTTTCCGTCCACATTTACCCCTTCAACTTGTTAAAATGTACACATTCAGTCCTTATGACCGGCTACTTCAGGTTAGCCGGTAAAAATGACTTAATAGGGTAATATATTTCTCACTTTGTACACATTTAGTCCTTAATTTTTTTTTTTTTTTTTTTTGCAAAATAAGTCATTTTTGCTTTTGTACTCGTTAAATACTTATTAATGATTTATTTAGTCTTTTCTAACGAAATCTTACGTGAGAAATTCATTAATGAAGTGTTTGAGCCTTTTGATGTTTATGTTCATCGCGATCTCGACTACTTGGTTGTTTAGGTCATGTGTTTTGAACGTCATAATTCTTCATACGATCTCGGATTTTAACGATTTTTATATCCAATCGAACGATCTTTATATCCATGCGTTCGTATTTTAGTCTAATACAACTTTTATTTAGATTACTCTCATTAAAAAAATATATTTTTACTTACAATTTTTATATCCATACGCAGGGGCGGATTTAGCCTAGTCCCGGTGTTGCACCGACATCAACTATTTTTTTTTGTCCGCAATGGAAATTTTTTTGATTTTTTTTTCGTTTATAGCTATTTTTCATGTATCAGCAACACCTATTTCATATCGGCAACACTTACTATGTATTCCTCCGTCTGCCCCTGTCCATACGTTTTTATGAATGCATGTATGGATGTTTTTTTAAAAAATCGTAAGTAAAAATATATTACATTTTAACGGAAGTAATCTTAATGAAAAAATGAACACGTAGATATAAAGATCGTTAAAATCTAATATCGTATGAAGAAGTTACGGCGTTCAGAATACAAGACCTAAGCCAAACCACAAGACCTACGCAACCAAGTAGTCGAGATCATGTTGGACATAAACATCAACAACCTCAAACAACTTATCAATGATTGTTCCACGTAAGATGTCGTGAGAAAAACCTAAAGAAATCATTTATAAGTACTGAGTGAGTACAAAGAAAGGACTTATTTGAAACAAAAAAATGTTAAGGACTAAATATGTACAAAAATATTAAGGACTAAATGTGTACAAAATGAAAAATATATTACCCTATTAAGTCATTTTTTCCGGCTAACCTGAAGTAATCGGTCATAAGGACTGAATGTGTACAGTTTAACAAGTTAAAGGGGTAAATGTGGACGAAAAAAAAACTCAGTGACCAAATATGTACAAATCAAAAAATACATTACCCTTTTAAGTCATTATCCCTATTATTTATGTGTTTGGCAATGAATGTTATATTCTCTCTCTCTCTCTCTTTATATATATATATATATATATATATATATATATATATATATATATATATATATATATATATTTAAATTACAACACGGTTAGGAATAATGATGTTTGCCTTCTTCACGTTTTAACTAAGGCTGAACATGGTACAGTACTAATTTATTTTTACTCAAACCATATACTGTACCAACTATAGTTAGTAAAAAAATTCCTACTAAAACCATACCAAGTATAGTTGATACCAACTTGTTTGACTACCAACAAGTTTAGTTGGTATAAATTGGTAACAATATGTTACCAACTTTGTTTTGATTTTCAAATGTGAGAGTTAAACACTAGCAACCACGTGAGGCAATTTTCTTGGCTACTAATTTTATAAATTAGTAATGTAACTATTATACTTACTACATAATTTTATTAAGTAACTTTTTAGTTTTTTAATTTAATATGGTAATAGCTATTGACTACGCCTAATGTCTAACATCATGCTTTTAAAATTGTAAACAGTAAACATAACATAACAGTTGAAAATACGATTTTGTTATATATATATATATATATATATATATATATATATATATATATATATATATATATATATATTGGTTGATATGGTATTACCGTGATTTAAAATTTAATACCATTACCATACCAAGCGTATTGAATTGGTACGGAACTACCAACCAAGTATGTTGGCTACCAAATATATTGGTAACCAACTTTCTTGGTTCAGTTGGTAGCATATTGGTTGGTTATTCCTAGTACATATTTGACAACCCTAGTTTTAACCACATATGTTTAGCTCATTATCAGTTTTAGTCCCTAAGTGGTATACACTTTGTGGTTCTTTTACATAAATGGTCCCTCGATTTTGTTGAGCTTGACATTTTTGGTCCTTATATGGGTTTTGCTATTATGCCCTCCTATTTATTTAGTTTGCTATCTTGCACCTTTGCTATAAGTTAGATAAATGATCATTGTATTTTGGTGACTTATTAAGAAATCATTCACTTTTGATTTTTATTTTATTTTAGTTTTTGTTGTTTTAAATACACCGATTTTTTTTTTAAAATCTTGGGCAAAACCCGAAATCACCTACTAGTTATTATAGTTTTATTGTATCCAATATTTTAAATACTGTATTATCTTTTTATAATCATGATATATTGTCATTATCTAACAAAATGTATTATTTTATTATGATTTATAGAGTTTATTATCTTATTATAAGATTAAAGTAAAAAACTAATACAAAAATTACAAAATAGTTAATTTAGAAAAAAAAAACTTATATTTTCTAAAATCCTACTTATCTAATTACCGGTTACAATCCCAAAATTGAATATATTAGGCAATTTCTTGCCACTTTCTGTTTAAGAAAAAAAATATAGGGAATTTTGACAATAACTCCATATAATTTCTGGTAATATACTTTTTTTTCATTAATTTAATTATCATCGTACAACGAGTGAGATGAAAAACGGGCAACAAGCTGCGCTGCTAAGTCTTTTTGTATGGCAAAACTACTTCTTTTAAAGACTACATCCATAGATCTAGGGGATATAACATTGCTATGCATAATCCGTTGTACTCTATTAAAAAACTTTACCGCATCCGGTGCGAGGAAAACCAAACGTATCAAATGCAAATGACATCAGTGACATATCTACTAAGCC